AGTAAGCATTTGAATTTGTTATGAAAATTCAAGATTTTTATAATAAAAACGCTATTGTTAGAAGCACTTATAAGTAGAAGTACTTTCTAAAGAAGCAGTCCCAAACGAGCTCTATGTACAATAATTATATCAATTTTAAAAAGCTTAATTATTTTATAGATTATAAGTGAAGCATGCGTTTCTAGTATAGAATTTTGACACCTGTCCTTTCATTTAACACCACTTAACCCAGTCTTAACAGAGTGAACCTTCCCAACAGAAAAAAATAATAAAAGAACCCAGACTAGACTACAAACTCTCCTCTGCCACGTCCCTTCAACTTCACCACTTTTTTGTTTTCATCTTCACTGCTAATGAATATTGACCTTTGACCGTTTCCACTTCAACCCAGTTACAATCAAACTATTTTATGACTAAAACACTTCAAATTAATGATAATTTTATTAAACTAAAATACAGTTCTATTAGTCTACTTATGGAGAAAACCTTAGTTGCAACCGGATAACACTATTTTGCTATCCCTGTTTCATAGAAGTCTTTCTCCAACTCATGGCAATATTTTTAAAATTTTAAAATTAATTAATTAATTTAAAAAGTAGCTATTCTGACGGACATTACCTCACTTTTGCTGTATAAATAATCTGCACTTGCAAGCACTGCAATGCACACACAAAAGCTAAGATGGATTCTACAAAAGTAGCTACTAAGCCACATGCTGTTTGCATTCCAGCTCCTCCTCCAAGTCATATAAAGTCAATGCTTAAATTTGCAAAGCTCCTACACCATAGAGGTTTTCATATAACCTTTGTTAACACAGAGTACAATAACAAGCGTTTTCTTAAATCTCTAGGATCCAATGCCCTTGATGGCTTGCCTGATTTTCGGTTCGAAGCCATCCCGGATAGCCTTCCGGATTCAGATGAAGATGCCACACAAGATGTCACCTTGCTTTGTGAATCTGTCAGAAAACAAAATTTCTTGGCTCCCTTTCTTGCCCTCCTTGCAAAAATCAACAATGATGCCATATCAACATCCAGCAATCCTCCTGTGACTTGCATAGTTTCAGATGGTGGCATGTCCACGTTCACAATCACAGCTGCTGAAGAAATCGGAGTCCCTATAGTGCTGTTCTACACTATAGCCGCCTGTAGCTTCATGGGATTTAAACAAATTCGCGCTGTGGTCGAAAAAGGACTTACTCAAAGGTGAAATATATAACTATTAACTGAAGCAATTGTTGTTTAACTTATGGTTTCTAAACATGCAAATGAAATGTTTCTTCAATTGAATTTCATTTGTCTATTGCAGATGAGAGCTGTTTCACAAATGGCTATCTGGACACCGTAATAGATTGGATCCCGGGAATGAGAGATATCCGTTTGAGGGATCTCCCG